TAGCAGAGTTAAAATTAAATATCAATGCTACATAAAAACTGTAGTGAAGGTCTTTAAAGTAAACCATGCCATACAGAGATGTGCTTTTGATGTGCAAGAAAAGCAACTACCCAGGAGTTTAGTGCCAAATGCATACCCCACATGACTTCACGCTAAGAACGCCTGCAAGTTTTGCATTTTTGTTCTGACAGAGTAAGAGTCACTGGCATCTTTGAAAGACACCAAAAGACTCCAAGACACAGCAGCACAAATCGTGGTCCCCTTAAGCTGCTGGCCCATGCCTTGGAGAAGAAATGGAGGAATAAACTGATGGAGGCCGAGTGCACAGCGCGAGGTTAGCAGATGAAATACGAAGGTTAAGACCCACAATTGCTGAGTGTCATGCCAGTCGTGGCCATAGTCAATCTGTGGGGCTGAGATCAGGTGCTGGCATCAAGTGATTTACTGCAGCTGAGCTAAGTGTCTTGCCCCCTGAGGTCCAAACATAAATACAGCCATGCTTTTTCCAGCCGGAATCCCAAAAGCAGTCCTGTAAATCGTGCCTCATTTTCAAAAGTTATTTTCAGGGGGGAAAACAAACAAACAAAATATAAAGCTAAGATTCTCTCATTTCCATGTTTTACATCTATGAAAAGCTGCTGGAGGCTCATGCATTCTACACAAAGCAAACCTCCTAATAAACGCCCTGTAGCCAAGTCAGCAAGCCACCCAGAACACTGTTCTCAGCTCATGGAAGAGAATTTCTTCCTTCCCTGCCAGTTTCTGAGGATGATGCTGTCAAAGAGAACAAAAGATTGAGTTTTTAAGTATGCTTAAAGAAACGCAGCAACATCCGGGGTGCTGGTTTCATTATAAGTCATTCCATGCTGGAAGGATGCACCCTCACTGTGTAATGCTCTTACAGCAGAGGACAGGTGGGCAGCAAAATATTCCTACAGTACTCTGGATCTGCACTGTACTCCATCAGAGGTGAACACACAAAACATAATTACAAGTTCTGCATCATCTCACCAGGTACTTCTGATCTGCCTTTTGCAAAGCATTAAAGAGGAGCATCTGCCCAGTGCTGAGCATGTGGACTAATAAAGACTGGAAATTATCCTTGCAGTGACGTGCCACTGTCTGAGAGCTTTTGCAGAACTGGAACTGAAGAAGGCACATAACAGGAAGGAATACTGTTTTTGCAAAGCAGACTGCAGACAAAACGCTGAGGTGAACATCACCCTGACAGGCTGCTGCAAAGTAGAAAATACAGTCTGAAAGACAGCTGAAACAAATAAGTTTTTATTTCACGGAAAAGCAGGCATCTCCTTCAAAGCACAGTGCACTACAGGACCACAAAAAGACACTTTGTCAGTGTTGATGATGGAGAGATGAACCCTAGAAGAAGCAGCTTGCAGTAGCATCACGCTGGCATTTTCCTGAAGCGCTCCATTCAGCCACATTCGCCCATTTTGCACACAAGCCCATTTTCTCAGGTGGGAAAAAAATGGTGCCACACCATTTTTCGCCCTCCGCTTTGCTTGCCCTTCCCTTTCTTTTTGCTGTCCCACTGGGGCTCAAAGAGTGATTCCAAAAAAAGCCACAACCTTCATGTTATTATCAGATGAAGCACCTACTGCAAAGCAGACAGCTTTCCTTGCAGGTGTTGCACTTTTCTCCCCTGGGTAAGCACAATACCACCCACTCAGCTCTAAACCAAGTTCTCACTTTATACCTTCCTACCAGATCCAAAAAATAAGTTGACAAAAGTAAATAGGGCTGAATTTAGACTTTTTAGTTTCTGCCAAGTAAAACAAAAAACAAACAAAAAAAAACCTTAAGGCAAAAACAATTCACATAATGCAAACAATGAGAAATATACAATTTAAGGAGCTATTTATGCTTCTGGAGCTGCAAATGTGCTGCAGGTAACAGAAAGTTTTCTTCCTATTAAAAAGACAGTCACAAATTACCTTGAAGGAGAAGGAAGGATAAAAAATGATCTTTGAAGGATGAGTGTGTGGGAAGTACCTTTGAGCTTTTCTGTTTTGTCAGCTTAGTCTTATCATTAGAATAAAAAAAATAAAATCCACTGGAAAAAAAAAAAAAAGAAGAAAAAACAGGACAAGGGCCCATCTATCTGCTGGTACAGAGCGAGGCTGCTCCACTGCCTCTGGAGCTTTAACCTTGCACACCCCCAGGGAGGGAGTTCATGCTGCGGATGATCTACACAGAGTTTATCTCTCCCTAAATCCTCCACTTCAACACAATGCATAAAGCAGACAGTTGTTTTGTATTACCACTTTGCAGTCCGAGGCTTTCCTAAGGACAACAGTTAATAAGGAGGCACCCCAGTGGGTAACATGAAAATCTGTCTTGTGCATTCCTTCTCGGTTTATTTACTTACAGTGGAGGCAAAAATACACTAAGCAAACTGATGTATTTTTAGAGCTCCGTGTTCCCAAACATTTGCATTAGAATCAACTGCTAATAAATCCAGCATATCCAAAGTGATTTTCTGTACCTAAATTGCAGGCTTGTGGAAAGCACAACATGCAGCACACTTAAATGCCTTTCAAACTGTTAATCTCACTTTTTAATATAATTACCCACCTTTTCACTAAGACAGGGCTAGATACAGAATGTGCTGCTGCCTACCTGTGCAAAGCTGGCAGCATACAGCTTTTCTCTATCCCAAGTGAGAGCAAGTGGGCTGGTAACATCCACAAACACAGGTGTTGCAGGTGGAAATAGCAAATGGGTATACGATTGCATCTGTGCTAACTGCTCAGATCACCACCTACACGCCCTGTATTCACAGCTTTTCAGCAGGAAAAACCAATCTGAATTCACACTGCTAGGCAGCACAAACAGGTCCAAGTGCTGCTGTGTACCAGTGGGCTTCGCATGCCCAGCTGAGCCCCCCCCCCAGCACAGCCTGCCCTGCTTTGCAGGCATCTCCTCATTGCCCCCAGGTAAATTCAGCAGGCTCGTTGTGCATCTCAGCACTGTCAGGCTACTGTGTCAAAAGGCAGTAAGCTATGGAATAGCATCATGTAACTTCAAAGCAGAAATACAAAGCCCAGGCCAGTGAATATTTCATGCTAACGCCTGTTCTCTTGGCCCGTGATTCCGCACACAATGTTGTCTAAGCTGTTTTCTCCAAAAGGATTTAAAAAAAAAAAAAAAAAAAGCCTTGTTCAGGAGAGAAGCGATAATTTACGGCTTCCATTTACTATTCTACACCAAGAGAGAGCATGGGATGAACCAAGCTGACTTCTCCATCCCTACCTGTGTGAACTCTGCAGGCAGTAAGCCAATACCTGCAGCTTGGAAGCCAAAACCAATGCTGTAGTATCTCATCAGGAGCCATAGAGGAAGATCTTAACACCACTCTCACTCCAGGAAAGGGACAAATAGTCAATAGCGCAGTTGAACCTCCCGCATTTTGTCTGAATTATTCCTCTCCCATTTTCCTTTATGGTGTTTTATCCCCCACTCAAAGATATATCCCCTTAGAGCACCCTACACAACCCTCTCCCTGTGGGTGCACATACCTTTCAACTGCTCTCAGATAACTTTTATAGCCTATCCTTAACAGTTGTTTAGTCAAGCCATACATACTTTATCACTTTAATCTCCCCTTATGAATCAAGCCCTCAATCCTCTTCATCATTTTTGCTGTCCTTCCCTAGCAGTCTATTCCTTCTTAGCTGCTGTTCTCCACACCAAGTTGATAAAAGAAGATATCAAGTATTTGGACACCTCCTATATTTCGCAAATTGTACCAGTAGCTTTTGTTGTACTTTTCTGACCTATACATCATGATGTTTATTTCGCCTGTTCATTGCATTCTTTTGCTCAAAATCTCACTAATCCTCCAGTAGGGAAAGAATAAGCAGGTAATCAAAATATGGAATACTAAAAAGGTCAACATAGTTCACCTGAGCTACTACATGTATTAGATACTAAAATTTTTATATCTTGCACATCTGAGAAGAGAGCAAGAGAGAAAGAAAAAGAGCAAAGGATGGAACAATATCCATTCAAGCATCAAAGACTGTAATGAACAAAGAAAAAGATGAGTTCTGAACTACATATCCTAAAAAAAAATTCTTTTTTCCAATAGCAAAACGGATTTCCCTTTATCTCTGTATACTAAATATTTAGAATAAGGCTGCTTTTCAAAAAGATCCAAAATAAAGCCTGTCCTGGAAAGAATGAGTTGGTAGGCCACTACAAATAATGTAAATATACCCTTCATATATTGAATCTTTAAGATCATGTTAGTATTGTTTATATTATAGTAAAACACATATCAAAATAATATAAAAAATGATGTAAGGAAGAAACCATGTTTCTCACAGAAGCCTTCAATTGAAATAGATATAAAAGTGTTAGGAAAGTACTGAAGCATAAGCGTTGAAAGAAAAAGTCTCAAAATATTTCAGATTTTTCTGTTTACATTTTTGTTATGACATATTTTTGCTCCAGAAAATAGAAAATATGTATTTTTAGCTGATGAAACATACACTCAAAGCTCATGTTTAAGATGTATATGGAATAAAACTCAGCCATGGCTTTTCAGACTACGAGAAGTCGTAAGTAAAAGGAAATTAATGATTCCCCTCGATAGAACAGATTCTGTTTTATGTGCCCTGCTGCTAAGTGGGTATAACTGCATATGCATTACATATATTTTCCTTTTAACAGCCAAATCCCTTGTTTACAAGGTCGAAAATGATATAAACCCTAAAAATTTTAGAAACATTTATGCGGGCTGGCAATGGAAGTGACAGCTATCAGGCTGCGAGAGAACTGGTGAATGAGGATGAATTTAGTCCTTTGGCTATGCATCTGTTACAGACCAAAAGCCTTGAATTGGAAGAGGGAAAGGCAATGGCAGCAAACCAGGACTTCATTCATCAATTAAATTCATTTTTTACAGTAGCATAATGAATATCCAAGGGAGTGTTTAATGCCAAGCAGAAGAAATAAATAACGAAGAACAAACTTACAATTAAAAATACAGATATGGAGAAGCCTTCTACAAGTTGGAGAGATTGCTGGTTTTTTGCCCAACGATTCATCCTTCAAGGAGCATGCATCTATTTCTGCAAGAAAAGAGAGGTCACTGTATTACAATATGGATGAAGAACATGCCTGTCTGAAGTTTGGCTCTCAGTGTACACATACCATTAGATCCCTGGAAAGCAGCAGCTCATGACTCACTAATGGTACACAGGATGTCATTAGATTTCTCCAAACTAGGTAACTTCCTGTCCTCACATGAAAGTTAATATCAAAGCTCAGCGCATACAAAGCCACCACAGGAAATGACTCATTCAGCACTTTTTTCTGCATGTGAGAAGCTGAAGGCTTACTAGAACTGAAGTCATGACTTGAAGTCATTCTCCATTTATTTTTTTTTTAACAATTATGTTTGGTCTGAAATCAACAGTGTGTGAGGAGTTTGCTCAGAACATCAAGGAATCATAGAATGGCCTAGGTTGGAGGGGACGTTAGAGATCAAAGGAAATTATTTACATGTACAGTTTGCACGTAGCAAGGAAATCTAGCTTCATTTATATCATGCCACATTCAACCATGCCAGTCTTCCCAAGCCTTGGACCAAACTCCTTCCAGACAACTGATGACTGAAAAGCTTTCTCCTTTAGGTTATATGCAAAAGGTGCATCACTTAGGAGCCTACCAAGAAACTTCAAGGTCTGAGCAACTGAAAAGTTACCCTTTGTAAGGTGAAGAGATCTTATTTACTGCATTAAAACCCATAAAAAACAATGTATGCCCAATAATGCTGCCATCGCTGAGACAACTAACAAGTGAAATAAACACTCAGGATGCTCAGAAATGCTGATATAGCACGAGATGATCATTACATAAGTGAATATGGAATTAGAGGGACCTCCAGATGTTTTATTCCTCTTCTGTGTCTTCCTTAGGTTGGAAGAACACACCTATAATCCTTTTTCCCAAGTCAACGCTGTATTACAGCATCCTGAACAAATGCACAGAATTACTGAAGTAGATATTGCATTAACTCCTTAAAAATAAAAGATGATAGCAATGAGTAGTTATGAAGTTTTATACACGTAACTGCATCAAATCAATAACATAGCACAGATGTCAACAAAAGTTGCAGGGTGAAGGAAAGAGTAAGAATATATATGAAGATGACATAAACAGGAACAGCAACGCTGATTTTTGTGAGGTTGCTCCCACCAGCACCAACGTCAGGCAGCACCACTGAAGCACTGCTCCCACGTGTTTTCATGCCCCAGAAGGCAGCCAGCAGCCTACTGGGCAAAACCAGTGCTGAGATCAGTGTTTCTTGGTATACCTTCCTGAAGAGAACCAGTGCAGAAGGGTCAGGCAGGCACCGGGCTGTGTTGGCTTTCCTTTCATTCTTTACCTTGGTCACAGAGCAGTCCTGGATCCTTCCTGACTCCTCTCGCTGGAGATCTGCCAAAAGTCAAGTGCTCTTAGGAATGCAAGAAACACACTGACCAATTCTCTCAACAATTTCTCTAGGTGTTGCTTTCTAGCAATCATTAAGAGTGGAGCACGCACCCAGCAAAGCCCTGGATGTGAAAAACAAAGCAAATAAGACAAATGAACGCTCTTCTTGCCATTGAAGAGTGGACAAGAATCCCAGCATCACTTTGCCTGGAAATACTGCATTCCTTCTCCAAGAGAGAGATTCATCATGGGGACAGGGAGCTCTGAGAACGGGATGGAGAAAGGGAAATCAGAGGTTGGAGGGAATACATCGCCCAGTAGAGAACTGAGGCCACTGCGCTGCAACTGGGGGAAAACAATAAAAATTTAAAATAAAAACAAAAATGGAAAAAAAAAAAATAGCTGTGTCACAAAGGCTGCTTCCTCTTAATTTTTTCTCATTAGAATGTTAAAAAAAAAGGCAAAAGGACAATTGTGTCATGATTTGTGCCTGATGCTCCATTTTTTTTTACGTCACTTTCCTGTCCCCTTCATTTCTTAGCTAATAACTCATTAACTTTTTTTTTTTTTTCCTGGAAATCTCAGTTAACTAAGAGTGGAAACAGACACAGTAAATTTCTAGATAAGTAACTTGAAAAGATACAATCAATAAAATCCTGGGTGGCAATAATGTTTCCATATTAAATTTATGGCATCTGTTTAAACAATACTCTCCCTCCTCCATTATTCTAAATGTTGCTTCAGGAGGTCTTTTTTATAGACTATATTTTTTCTTTTATGGAGGGACTGTAAACAGGCAGTTAAACTAATATTTTGGTACGTTTGGCATGCTGGGTTTCATTTTATAGAGCCTTTCAATAAAAACTCATTGCAGCTTCAAACGCTCTCTTACAGCGTGAAAACTGGAATGGCAGAAATTTCCTTCCTGCTCTACCCAAGGCACAGTGCTGCATAAAGATGGGTCACAGAGCTTCCTGTGGGATATATTAGAAGCATACCGTGAGAAATGGGAAAGTTCCAAAACAAAAGCCATCTTTGGCTTCATGTCCAAGGTTCAAGCCAAAAATGAAGCCCACAGCAAAGCCTTACTGGTCGAGGAAACAGGCTTAGATGTAAATGTTTGCTGTTATTTATATTTTAATAAAGAAGCCCTATTCATCTTCATGTACACCAGACGACTTGCCTTCTGCTCCAGCTACTAAGAAAAGTAATGCTCAGAAGGAATCAGCCTCAAGCAGCCAAAGCAGAGTTTTGGGCAGAACCAAAACTCAGTAGTGCTCCAGCAGAATGGTTTAACAAAAAAGGTACTCACTTCCCACTCCAGAAATTTCTTTAGGACTACATAAATAAACAATTTTGTCCTCTGGGTCTGTTTCTACCTCATTTCCCAGTGAATGATAAACTCTGAGCTATACAGAAGATGTAAATACAGACACGAACAATTCTCCATGTCATTGGAACTAAACATCAATTTCTTTGTTTAGGATGTTCTCTGGAGGGATTTTTAGAGTTATTTTTTTGTGATGGGGTCAACTCTTCTCTCTGTGTTCATACAGCACTGTGCATATGGAAGCCTTTAAGACCCATTGCAAGTAACACTAATAATGCAATAGGGACAACAAAGTAAGACAAGCAAGAACTTCTCACTTTTTGGAAACAAACAGCATCATAAATAGGATGATTCCTTCAAAAGCGAGTGGATATGCACTTCTAACCCAGAGAAGCAATACTGTCTTCAGAAAATGCTGGTATCCAGAGCTTTGTTTCACCCTTGCTCGACATCGAAGCAAGCTCTCTAAGCTATAGGACTCTCAGGAACTTCTGCTAACATCACACATTTTTTGGACAAGTGATTTGCTACCCGAACTTAAGCCTCCTCCTAAAAATGAAGAGCAAGGTATTTATGTTCCAAGTAACCAGACTTGTACCAACTGGAAAAAAGAAAAAAAGGAAACAGAGAATATTAACTCTCTCTGCTTCTTATTTTTATTGTCTTTACTGATTGGGAGAAGAGGTTCTAGGATGGGAACTCTTCTGTATGAGCTTTCTCGATGTCTCTGAGTGCAGGTGTCATAATTCGTGCTCTATCACAGGTGATGAGTTTCACTGAATTTGAAGGAAATTAAAAAACAAAACGAAACAAAAAAACCTGAAAGCATTTCATAAATTTATTAACATTGAAGAAATAATGCCAAAATTTTATAGAGAAAGATTCCTCTATAGATGTTTTCAACAGCACGCTTCTTGTTGTCTGTAATCAACTTTGGATTGAACTATTTATCAGCAATATTTCTTAAAGCCTGAGAGGAACTGGAACCCGTGTTTGAGTTATCCTGTGGAAGAAGATTCATCCCTAAGTAGACACATACCTACACCTGGCTGCATTGCAGCTCTGGTTGGGCAGGACAGAGAAATGCTTAGTCCACTCCAACAAGGAAAGGGAGAAAAAGCCTTCACTCCATTCCCTTCTCCTTTATACATCAGCTGCCATCCCCTACCAGATCCACACCTAAAACCTTCCTTACGTGAAACAGCTCCCCAGCATGTGTCAATAATTTGAATGATCATTTGGAATTCCTCCCTCAATCATTTTCTAGTAAAGCAAAAATTATTTACACTTATTGCAGCTCGGGCACATCCAGCTGCTGCTTCACCTACTCCTTCCACAGAACATTGAATCTCATAATGCAAAAAATGGAAGAAAAAAAATAAAATAAAAATGGGAATCGTGAAGCAAGTATAAGCAAGAGCAAAGGGAGGAGCTCTCCTTTTAGCAGCCTCAGTCTGTAAATTGAAAAAGAAAAAAGCAGCTAAATCAGCAGGAAGGAGAGCGCTGCTCCAGGTCTGCATCAGGCACAGCAGCCTTTCACAATGTGAACTTTGCTCAGGTGTTCCCTATTTCTTCCCAAATACAATGATTTAGCACCTTTTTGCCAGCTAGCAAGATGAGTGGGTCTGACAGGTTTCTGTGCCTGTGGTGTTGGGTGCTGACCTGGTTCCTGATCACCGTGCTCTGCGCTGCTGCTGTAAGCTCTATTTATAATCCTCCTTTCTGCACATCCACTCACAAAAATATTATCAGCCTGTCTGGGATGTGACCTTTTCCTTATGCAAGTATTCTGGCTAAAAACCTCAGCACCACTGCTGTCGTTCGTTGCTTCCCAGCTCCCTTTTCTAACAGCCCACGGACTGAGATCTGCGAGAGCTGAGAGGATTTTCAGAGACTGATTTCAAGCCTTCTAGAAATTCCTAAAAGCACAACTTTGGGGTTTTTCTATTTTTGTTTTAAAACAACATTATCTTGTTTTAGCAACAACATAAATTCAACAAATTAGATTTCCTTACCTTGGAAAAGGTCGATCTCCAAGAGATAGGAATTCTGAATAATACTTCATCTAACGTTCTCTCCCAAGGTTTAATATGAATCACCACCTGCAACTGTCTCTGAGCTTAGACAGCAAGTGGGAAACAGCAGCACTGTGCTGGATCACAGTCCAGGCTGCTCGGTGTTATTCTCCCATATTGACTAGTTCAGCTAATTAAAACCTTGTTTCCAGCTGATGATAGCTTTGGGGGAGGAAAAAAAAAAAAAAGCATCAAACTTTTCTTCCAAAATCACTGAGTCTTTGAATAC